TACATAAAGAAAAATTGATTTTAGTACATTCTGGGAATATTTCATGAAAAATAGATTCAATTAATTATCAATTATTTTGTTTTCTATATTTAAATACTGTTGAAATTTTTCCTACAGTAAAAAATAATGATTTTTTCAGAGTACTTATAAATGTTGTCTTTCTTAAATTAATTAAATTAACTAATAGAATTATATGTATTAAAAAAAACTAATTATTAATTGAAAAACATGTTGTAATCAAATAATATTTCCTCCTACTCAAATAAATTTATATGAAAAACAAATTATATCGATCTATACGTTTTCTGTTTTTCTTATGAACAATAGAAATTTATTTTCTCATACCGTTCGACTAATATAAACTCGATGTTCAACAATAGAATCATTCATGTCATATCGACGTGTAAACATTGCTTTTTCAAAATGTAAACCACTAGCAATAAGTAGACCTGTTACAATCGAACCTCCAATTGGTGATGGTAATCTTGCTTTTCCAATATTTCCACACTAAAAAATTTAAATACTTTGAAAAACGATTTTTTCTCTTATTTTCATTACTTTTCCAATAAATAATCCACTCTGAAATAATGATGCTGACATTGCAACAGTACCAAGATATCCATTAGCAATTTCAGGTAGAAAGCAAAAATGTGGTTCTGGATTAGCATATAACATTCGTCCAGAATTAATATCATTTTGCCAATCATCTGGTGGTAAAAAACCTTTTCGAATATATAAATCAACATTTTCCGTTACATCATAACAACAATTTGCATCACAACCAGATGCACATGATTTTAAAAAACCATTTGTATTAAATCCATAACAGGATGAATTTAAATTACATTGAGCAGCTAACATTTCAATATCACATTTGATTTTATAGCCTGATTAAATAATAAATCAAAAGTTATTTTAAAAAGATTATAATTATCTTTATATATAGATACCTTCCCCACATTCAAATCTAGTCAGATTATGACCGATTACATCTGTTTTAGGCATTTTTAAATAATGATTCAATGAGCCCAAACATATTTTGTTAATTAAAAATATGAGTAAAATAAATTTCTTCATGAAATATTCAGTACTTAACAAAAAAATAGATTGACTAAGTAGTTCTCTTTGAAACCTAACTATTTTATCTTATCTTTAAACTGAACATAAGAAGAACTGTTTGTAGATTTCTTACATAGAACCAATAGCGAAATATAATTTAAGGTGTCACTTGTGTTCAACTATTCTATTTTTAGATCTCATTCATTTGACAATTATGTAATTTGATCATTTATAACAAATTATACTACTATTACTACTTATCTAATTATGATAGTAGTTATGTTATTTGATAGATAATTATTTATATATGTCTGCATATTATTAGTGAGTTATTATATAAAAGATACTATATTTATTTTGATTTCTCGAGAATAAAAAATAACATTGGGTGTTTTATTAATGGAAAATCAAATGCGCATTCTTTTATTTGACATACAAACTAACGTTTAAATGTATTTTTCTTTGAAATAAAAAAACAAAACCTTTCAAATAAACAATGTATTTCTAATTCTAACCACATTTTTCTTATTATACAAACGGATGCAGTCTCCATTTGTTCTCTTCTAAAAACAAATTCAGCTAATGAGTCTTTGTCATGAATAGAAAGCAGATTTTCTTTTTCTGCATAATTCTGATAAAAAATTTCCTCACACGTTCAACATCTAACACATTGACATTCACTTGATCTACACAACTACTTAGGTGAAATATAATCAAGCATTTATAAATATGTACGTATATTAATATATATATATATATATATACACTTATTGTGAGATTTTTTATTTAAGTAATATTATTAACACATTGAAAGATAAATTTTTGTTATTGAAAAGAAATAGATAAAAGAATTTTGTAATATCTGATTAATTATTTCTATTTCTCTCATATATATAGATGAATAAAGTCCAAAGTTAATCAAAAAAAAAAGAAACGACATCTCCCGATAGATTAAAAAGACGAAGGAAGAGCTCTATGCACATAACATAGTACTCGGATGATTGTTTAAGAGTAAGGGCGCAATAATCTTTTAGTGCTTGCTCGAGTAGACATACAATATAGTAGGATCGTGCTTAATGGCTTTACATTTTTATCTACGCAACTGCACTTATGAGACATGAATTAAAGAATAACATAGGTTCTTATATTTTTGCGTAGATAATTAAAATGATGTCAGATGAACAAACAAGTTGGCACGTAATAAATATACTATATATAAATAGCTAAACTATCATGATAAATTCTTGAAGAAATTGTATTACATCCTCGTAAAAGTATAAGTAAGTTTTTCTCGCTAAAACATATTATATCTTTTTTTTCTTAATTTATTTTACATAATACATAAACGGTGTTTTCTCATTGCTAGTGCCTTTCATCCATCAATAACACATTTAAATAATGCCACAGGCTATTAAGAATAAATAGGTTCACATTTAAGAGATAATGTCATTGAAGAATGAGAAAAAAATGAACCGAGCTTACTACATGCCAATGTCTTTCTACATCATAGGAAATCTTCTATATATTTTTTCTTTCCTTTACTGTTTTTTTTGCTAACGTATATACTCTTAATATTCATCATGCATTAAGACTGTATTTCCCCTCGAAAATACGTGAGATGATTTAATGGTAGATATGATAAAAAGATTCTCTTTTATATTCGAATAAACAAACAATATATTCATTGATAATATCTTAATCAGTTTATCTTGTTTGTCTTTACAAATATAATACATCATCGAACAATATTCTTAATGCTATAAATTCTTATTTTCTTTTTTTCATGTATTATCAGAAGTATTAGGCTTATTCTCTTGAGAATATTTCAAATGAAAAATCTGTGATATGTCACTAATAATCGACAGAATAGACATCATAAATTTTCATATGAAAAGAATTCAAATTTGACATAAAGAGTATTTATTTATATGTTAGCAAATCTTAACTTAAAACAAAATGCTAATGAAAAACTATCAGTATTTATTAGCTGTGATTGTTTTTTTGTTGATTCTTTCTTGACAACATGTAAAAAACAGATCATATATCGATCAAGATTAGGAAGAAGATGAAATAGTCGAAATTAGCTTATTCTTACAAATATAGAGAAAATGCAAAGAAGCAAGAAAGAAAAAAGGGCAGAACGAAGAAACAAAAAATTTTTTTCCCCTTATTTTCTCTTTAAACATTTTGTTCTTTAGTTTATAATGCAGATAACATTACTTCTTCATTTATAAATGCTTTAAAACACCAAGTGTCATAACCAAAAAAAGGAATATCTTTCTTTTTAGCAAATATTATGATTATTGATTAAAATGCGTTTGGACATTAATAAATATTTACTGGTTTTTATTGGATGGTTAATTCGTACTAGTAAATAGTTGTAGGAGAGAAAAAATTAATTGAATACTAAAGAATATTCTTTTTTCAGGTTATCAACTTGAATGTGTTCAATGCACAAGTCCAGTCCGACGTGTTACACAAAACTGGGATCATTCATGTTTAGATGGTACTTTAACGTCAGTATCATGTCAAGAACCACCTAATGAATCAAACTCATCCTTTAGACAATGTGTATCGGCAGCTTATAGAATAGGTTCACAAAAAAGTTCAAGTAAGGTTTTTAAAAAACTAATCTATATGCAATAAGGATGAAAGAGATGCTATAAATAAATGTTAAAATTATATGAAGAGAAGATTTTTCATAGTTATATATTAAATATTTATATCAACTATTATTGAATAGAACTTTCTAATATGTTATATATAATTAAAAAACTCATTTCCTATTTTAATAGATATTCCAAACATATTATCTAACACAAAAGCGAACCTTGACACTAAAAGCACATGAATATAATAACATATAGATACCTTACATCCTCAAATTATATAATAGTATATTTTCAAAGCAATAAAGATATGTTTTATAGACTAATTTCAACGATAAAGGTACTTTATGTTTCCTATAAACGTACCAATTAAATTTTTTTTCTTTTAAAATTATTATTATTTATAATCGAAATAACTTTTCCTCTTTGTTAAAGCATTGTTGAATAGAATACATTTAAAAACAGATAAAATACAGTCATGCTTATATTATATATTCTTAATTTAGACATATTTGTTTATCGTGGTTGTTCAAAAAGTCATATAGCTCAACATGAATGTGATCCAGCCAATTCAACAACAGATATAGATAGCCTATTGAACTTTTATTGTAGTTATACATGTTTAGGTAATGGTTGTAATCGACATTCATATAAAGAAATAACATCAAATGCTAATCAATTAATTAAAATTCAATTTATTTTATTATTTATTATATGTACTATATTTTTGCTTTATTTCTAATACGATCTATTTTTGTAATACAAGTCAAACAGACGAAAATAATATATATTAAATCAACAATTCAAGTCATATATATATATATATATGAATCTTTGCTTTATATATTAACTGTATTTGCTTAACATCATTGTAATTTGTTAAAAACGAAATCAAATTAAACTACGTGTGATTTGTTTTTCAATTTAAATGATGAGTTTTTTAAAAAAACGACATTCCAGAAAATTATTATTATGGATTACAGATTGTTATGCAAATACAAGCAGTAAAAAGATTCAAACTTTGTCCTCGTTGATGCTCTATATTTTCTTAGATGTACGAAATTCATATAATAAAAATATGTACATAAGCGTATATGTACAAAAAAACTTATAGTTCATTTAGTTACTTAATAATAATAATACCTAGAAGTCTATTAAAATGAGTCTAGTATACAATAATTTAGATGCTTCCTCGTTATTTTGATCTGGCTTGACATCTGTCAGAATATATTCATTATTTTTTTGTATTTGTGGTAATTCTTAATTACAAATAGTCTAGGAATGTCTGAAGCGTTTTTCTTTCTATTATTAGATATTTATTATATCCGTTATTAAAGTACTTGATGATCTATGATATACGCTTTTTTTTGTTACTAATATTAAACATTTTTATATCCGGTATTATAATGCTTGGTGATGTATGAGTATAATAAATATATAATATTGATTAAAAAATAATAATAAAAAATGACGTATTTCATTTTTTTTATCTAGTTTAAAGATACGATAAAACAAAACAATGAAAAATGATTTAATAATCATAATGTTCGTCGAATAAGCTCATTTAATGCACTTGTAACTACAATAGAGATTGAATAAATTATATATTTGACTTTATCTCAAAATGAAACAATGTCAATCGGTTTAACTACTGTAATTTTATCTAATATATCTCACTTTCAGCAGCTCGAAATCTCGGAATATGAAATTTGTATTCAAGCCATTTACGAAACATTTCGTTATCTTTTAACATCATATAATATCCCAGCAATTGTCTAGCATATATAAATCCATGATCAGCTAATAGTTGACCATATTTTTTGCCTATACCAGGTACTAGAAGAAAAAAAGATAATGCAAAATTCTTTATCAAAATTTTTAATCATCAAATATAAAAACGAAATATATCGAATGGAAAAAACCTGCTGTAATAGGTTTTATCGATATTGCTTCATTTGAAAATTGACATCGTTTAAAACTAATATTTAAATTTTCAATACGTGTATTGGATACTGGCCATGCATTACTGATAACTTCACAATATAATGGTAGTTTTTCATTTGAATCAATTTCGACAGTTTTGGTTTGTTTAGGTATTTCAATAATAGATTCATCTTGCGCTGAAATAAAATTATCTTTCGCGTTAGATTGTTGTTTGGCTTTAATCGATGGTAGTGAAATTTTTTTCTCTTCTGGTTTACAACAATTTTGATTCGATGATATATTTGATTTTTCTGTAGTAGAAGAAAATGGTATTGAATTAATTATATTTTCTTTACGAACAAAAAATCGTTGTGATGAACTATATGATGGAATATGATAAATACGTTTTTCATTCATCAAATTTCGATCGAATATTTAGCAGGAAAAAAAACAATAATTATACGCGCTTTCAAGGAAATTTATTTTCTGTTAAGAAGATGATTCAGTCATACGTTTTATCAAAAAACAACAACTCTTCGTCTTCTTTTGGTACTTCTCAAAATAAAGCAGAGTAATCTTGTTTTAACATTTTACATTTTGATAAACTACATTTATTTTGCTTATCATTTCATCATAAATAAAGATACGAAAAAATAAAAGAGTCTATATATTATAGGTGTCTCTTTTACATATCTTCATTATATTCATTTTTTTCTTGTGTCACATGAAAATGATGATAAGCATAGGCTTACTTGTTGTATTTGCTTGTTTTACACAAAACATTTATGCTAATCAACCTGTTACTGTAACCACAAAATATGGTGATATACTTGGATATCAAACTGATGTAGCTCGTGTATTTTATGGAATTCCATTTGCTCAACCACCTGTTAACAGCTCACGGTATATTAAATAGAATTTATCTTCAATTCATTTATATATATTTTTTTTTCTTAGATGGCAACCACCTGCGCCAGTACAAAAATGGTCTCCAAATGTAATAAATGCTACAGTACCAGCACCTGCTTGTCCACAACCCGAATGTAAACTTCCACCTATTTTGTGTCCAGCTAGAGTATGTTATTTTGAAAATAATTTTATATTACAATGTTAGTTATCAATTTTCTATTTTTAGACTTCAGAAGATTGTCTTTACTTAAATGTTTTTACACCAATAAAAACAAATTCAACACCTTTACCCGTTATGATTTTTATTACTGGTGGAAATTTTCAATTTCTTGATGCTTCAGCACCAATCTATGAATCAGAACGTTTCGTAAATACAACAAATACTGTTCTTGTATTTATTCAATATCGACTTGGTAAAAAAATATAAAATTCTATTTTTGACTAGAAAAAGAAATAATCTAATTTTCTCTTAAAAATTCAACATAGGTATTCTTGGTTTTTTGGCAACTGGTACAGGTCCAAATGATATTAAAGGTAATTATGGTATACTTGATCAACGTCTAGCTATTGCTTGGGTTAAAGCAAATATTGGCGTATTTGGTGGAGATCCAGATGAGGTTAAAAATAATATATTTATTGAAATACTATTAAACCTGAAATTATTTTATTATATAGATCACATTATTTGGTCAAAGTGCTGGTGGTCAATCAACTGCATTACATTATGTTTCAAGTGATATGCAAACATTTTTTAAACGAGCAATTATTCAAAGTGCACCAATAACAATTCCTTTTAGGTGATCTATTAAAATAAATTCCATATATATTCTATCTTATTACTATTTTTATATAGAACTTATCTAGAATATGTAACACCAAGTGTTCTTCTTGCAGAACAACTTCATTGTGCTGTTGGTGATGTTGCATGTTTTCGTCGTGCATCCTATCAAGATATTATTCTTGCTCAAACTGTTATTAATAATATGCTTACTTCACTTAAACTTTTACTTTTCTTTGAACCATGGGTACCTGTCATTGATAATAATGTTGTACATGGTCAACTTCTTGATGTTGTGAAAAATACATCATTTCCTCTTAAAGAACTTATTATTGGTACATTAACCGAAGAAGCTGTATTTTTTATTTATGAAGGATGGACAAAACCAGTTACACCAGCCACCTATGGAGAGGTTATTTTAGCTACATTTTTAGAAGATGCTCTTAAAGTTATCGAACATTTTCCACCTGATAGTATATCTGATTTACGACCATTATTATCTCGTATTGCTACCGAATGGGTATTTGCTTGTTCAACTCGTGTTTTTGCTCGTAAAGCTGCTTCTTATTCGTATGTATTTGGTTATCCACTTGATTTTGATGGTTGGGGTAATGAAACATTTTGTAATGGACATGTTTGTCATGGTGGTGAGTTACCATTTGTATTTGAATCAGCTTGGGTCAATTTTACTGATGCTGGACGACGTGTTTCTGAAAGTATAGCAACATATTTTACTAATTTTGCTACAAGTCAAGATCCAAATGAACCAATGCGTGTAGCAACTCCATGGCCAAGAATGTCAAGTGGAAATGAGAAATATATGTATTTTAAGGATCCATTGGAAGTACGAGAAAACTATTTGAAAGATGATTGTGATTTTTGGGATAAAATTGGTTATGGAAAAAGTTTTTTTAATATTCATAAATAAATAAATAAATGCGATAAATCAATATATATATCAGGATTTATATTTATTAGATTTAAGAGTATAGATATCAAAAGAATTCTTTTATGCCTATTTTTACTGTACACATTTTCTTTAAATTTGCTTGTTATCAAATATCTTATGATCTATTTTCATTATAATATAGAGTATGGGTGTGGATGATTGTTGCAATCATTAGTCATATCCACACTCACTCTTTATTCTATACTGTCACATATGATACTATTATTTGTAACTATCTCTTCATCAGAAATATAAGTTGGCACTTCTACAATTTCCAACGTTGTTAATGTATTCATCGTATATCTAACTGTAATATATCGAACAAATGTAATAAAATTTAAAAAGTAAGTCAGAAAATGACAAGTAGATCAAAAAATGATAGAAACGATAAGTAGGTCAACATATAGGTGATGACCAAGGAATAATGCATTAGAAAGATGATTACTGGTATAATTACAATGATATAATGAATATACGAAATTAATTACTAGTGTGGGTGGGTGTGAGTGTGCATTTATCTTTTCTTTATCCACATCCACCCTCTAGCATCTCTGTAGAATGAATTCATGTATTTTGAATGATTGATTCAGTACATTTCCGCCAATAAGAACAGAATTAGAAAGAACTATGAAATAAATGTAAACGTAAAAAATATTTCTACTTGTTTCTCACACTTTTCTCTAGAGAAATAATTGTCTATTAGATATTATCATTCATTTCAAAGCAATCTTTGATGCAGTAAAATGGAAATAGTTGTAAAAATTGCTGTCCACATTAGTTGTCTCTCTCGCTATAAACAACATCTATATAAGCCGTTGTACAAACACTTTAGTCGTCTTCTCCAACACTCTTGTCGTCATATTTGTGAACATTCTCGTCCGTCGTGTTTCTATTCATTATTTCGTTTCACATTTGTTGTGTCCGTCAAATTAAATTATGGTGACTGATGCAAACCCATTGACCGAACGAGTAGCAGATACGATGTGTATTTATTTATTCATTGTTGACCTCCATGATTGACGTTCATTGTATTACCCACTATAAATTGTTTCATTATATCAAATTTCACTCGTTTGTAATCATCTATTTTGTTCGCAGTTACAATGTATTTTCCCGTATTACTTCTTCTTCTTATCCCGCTCGTTACTCAAGCGGGTTGGTTTGGTCACAAGAAGACTGAGCCACGTGTGATCAGCACAACCAACCCTTCAGTTTTAGTAGCACTTCTTACTACGACTAGTTCATCACCAAATGAGCAATTTGCCTGGTGTTCCAGAGCCACCGCTATTTCGTGATTTGTATTTATATCTTTTATTCATCAGCAAACGCACTTTGTGATTTCTGTTTATTAAAACTGTCTGTTTCTGTTCATTTAGTTCCTTGGTACCCATCACTCAACATTGTGGTAGGGTCATATACGAAGATAATCCGAAGAATTACTATCGTAGTGCACTCTCAAACAAACGTCGGCTGCAGGCGTGGATGACGGTGTGGATGCAGGTGTGTATATGTATGTGGATGCAGGTGTGTATATGTATGTGGCCGCGACTGAGGTGGATGTGGATTTTGGTGTGGATATGGATGTGAGTGTGGTGGGTGTGGGTAGATGGATGTGGGTATTTTTTCTCATTGGCACTCACACCCTCAAACAACCACAAACAATATGCATCTACAGATACTATGCCATTAATTGCAATAATACAATTTGAGGAACGTCAGAAAAGAAAGAGTCGTCGTTTGATAAGTCAACTAGATTCAGATAATGTGTGAACTATTAAAAAATGCAACTATCAATCATAACATTAGCTTATTTTAATATGTAGATACATGATAAAAAAAGTATCATCTAACTTAATGTATGAGAAAATATATTAAAATACTTTTATTTTCAACAATAATTCTTATCAAATATGAAAACTAAAAATATGATGTTTCAAACATCAAAATGAGAAATAATTAGATATTTCTAGTCTTTACTTTATACAAGATAAACCGATCTCAAACTGAAAATGTTGAGTTGATTTCGATCTTCATTATAAAATGAGATATTACTAATTTGTTTATAATCAAAACATATTTAAATGAATTTCAAAGCAATTATAATATATCTGATTTATAGTAACCGATAATCTCGACAAAAGTATGAATCATCTATGTTTCTATCAGTTTTATAATTATTATTAAAAAAATCGAATCATTCGTCTAGCTAGAAAAGAATAGTACAACGAAAAGATTTTCTGTGAGATATACGTATAATTTATTAATCTATCTTGTGTGTATAACATAACTAAAGAAAATAACAGACAATTTTGTTCGTGTGCACATAAAGATTCGTACATGTAAATTTATTATTTATTCGAATGAGATGTAATAGAAGTTATATCGGATGATGTCTAGAAAAATAAGAAATATTATAAAAATAAAAACAAATTTTTCTTAATATATTACCCGGCGAAATGATCTTAATGGTGATTGATGATTGGCTGGTAATGGTGGTCGTGATATACTAACGCGTGATCCATCAGGATTCGTACGAAATGATAATCTCGCTGGTGTAATTGTTGTTTTTTCATTTGTAATGGTTGGAATCACTGTTTGAGTATCATTATGATCATTTGTTAATTGAGATGATTCAGAAATATCATCCGATTTATTGTTTTCATTTTCACGAGAATAATCTTCAGTAATAACAGTAGAAACAGGAAGAGAAACAGGAGGATGAGGAGGAGCAAGAGGAACTAAATAATGAAAATTAAAATATTATTTTGAGAATAAAAATAGTGAGTGAATACCTTGACTAGATATTGTTTTTGCTGTTATAGAATTATTAGCCAGTTGGCTTGCTTCATCTTGCGCAAATAAACAACTCATTAAAGTATCACTAAGACCTTCAGTTGTATTTTCATTTCGTTGAGATAATATATGACAAACTTGAGAAGATTTTTCTAATGTCTGATGTGTTGTTGTTGTTGTTGGAACCATAAGTGATTCATCTTCAACAATAGTTGCTAATAATGGTGGTGGTCGAGTACTAATTATATGAATAAAATGATAATAGAAAAATATCAAATGTTTTAGAGAAACTAAATTTCATAATATATAGTATATATTTTTTATAGAGACATAGGTAAAATACTAATTTTAGGATGTCTAAGATCAAAATATGAATTTACTTTGTAATTGGAATGGATGTCTTTGTTGAAACTGAAGATGATTGAGAAGTTGTCGATGAACAACATTCATCTGTTGTTGTTGTTGTATCAGGTGTATTTTTCTCTACAATAGGTTTACCTCGATAAAAGCGTCCTTTTTTTAATTGTATTTTAGGTAAACGAGAAGCCATTACATCTGTAGGCAAACGTCGAGCTGTTGTTGGTGTAAATTCAGTTTGTTCTTGAGAAGCTTCATCAATTCGATCAAGAGCGACTTCAATAGCAGCATAAGTTTCATTACTTATTGGTGTCCATGGATCATTTTGTTGTTTTCTATGATTATCATTATACGATAAATTTTCTTGTTGAGTATCAGGTTGAGTATCATCTATAATAATTGGTTGATCAGATGATTGTAACTGACATGTATCCAAAGGATTTGGACTTTCGAAACTATTGATTGTTGTTGATGTTGATGTTGATGTTGATGTAATAACTGTAAAAGTTGCATCTGGTGGATTTGCTTCTGAATTCTGATGTACTGAATCGAGTGTACAAGGTGATGAATTTGATTGATCAGGTTCAACATATGAAGATCTATTTTAAAAAAAAGAAGTTAAATATGAGATATTGATTAAATTATAATTTACTTTTTTGATGATTTAGTTTTATTGATAATTGGATGTTCAGTATCGGATACTTCGGATGTTTTTGCTGACTTTTTAGATATTTTTCGACGAACAGATTTAGTAGAATCAGTAGGGTTTTTTGATGATGACGATTGTGCTTTAAGACGATTAATTTCATGTGGATTAAGATAACGTTGCATAATTTCATCGGTCATTGGTACAATCATAACTTGCGGCGGTGGCCATTGATCAGTAGTTGTTGTTAATTTTTGACAACTATGATGAGTATTTTTATTATTAATTAATAGAGATAAATGTTTTGAACAACAATTATATGATGTTAATGTTGAAAGAATTGAACAAATCAGACAAGTAATACATTTTGATGAAGTATTATGATCATTATCTGATGTATCATTTTCATCATGAGTTCGAGTAGTTCTTTTTCGAGATTTATTACTACTTCGTTGTCGACGAGGTGATGGTTTTTCATCGTCTGAATCACTTAGAACAATATATGTTTTATTACTAGTTGTTGTTGTTGTTTTCGTTGGTTTTGATTGTATATATGCTTCATCATCATTGTCATTATCACCATCTTCAAGCCATAGATTACGCTGACCATTACGCAATTTATCTAATCGTCGATTTATTTTCGATGTTGATGCTGGACTTGGAGATTGTCGTTTTCGTTTTCCTATAAATTTATAAATTGATAGATAGGTAAGTAAGCAATTTTATTCTTTAAAATATATATACTTAATGGTTTTTTGCTAGTGCTCATTTTTTGTCAAAATTTTATTGAAAAGAATGAAGTTATGGAAAAATATATCGTTAATCTAACGAACGAACAGATTACAATTTGAATGGTTATTTAAATTTAACTATGATATTATTAACAATGAATCAATCTCTTTAAATCGAGAGGTCGCCATTGTCTTGAATTGTACTGATATGCGTTTGAAATTTTACATTTATTTAGATCATAAAGCCAGAACAGTTAATTATTTTTAAATATAAAAGCATATAGATTTTGGTCAGCCGTTTGATTTTATATGATGCATAAAAATATATGACTAATGACGAGACATCTAAACTAATTGTCGAGCGTCGTTCAAAAAAAAGCCATATTATGATTATCGATAGAATTCAGTGGAATTACACATAATCTAGATGACTTTGGGTTTATATAGCATTTATGTTTCCATACAAAAACATGTCTAATTATCTTTGAAATATTCTGAAAGATTGAGCTTGGACGAAAAGTTTTTCAGAGTTGTATTGACCTCATTACGTCCTGTTTATAATAATAATAAGACTTCAATGACATTCAACAGTTAAGAATGTCATTCCCTTGAAAGTCTAATCATAGTATCTGAATATTCATGATATATTCTAATAATTAAATAGTCAAACAATCTCTGAATTATCTTAAATATATTTTTGAGGCAGTAAATGAATTCGATATAAGATGAATTGTTATATTCGGTTCCCAAATACATTTTTTTCCGGTATTTTATTTATTCTATCGTCATACATAATAAATCTATTTTATATGATGATTAAAAAAGATACATTTCATGGATTCTATATTACAAACATTCATTGACTACTATCATTAACAACACATAAAACAGTATGTTTTTTGTTCATCTGTTAAATATGTACATCAGCCTAATCTAATGATAGTTCTATGAACATTTTTCGAAGAAATTAAGAATAGAAGAATAAATGGGTATATAATATGAATGAAATAAGGAAATAAATACATATAATCAATTTGAGCTTGTAATAAAAACGATGAATTCCAATAAAGACAAACTATTGCAGTAATTTGTAATGGCAACCACATACATAAATAAAGAGTTGATACTATCCATAATTGTAAAATCATTTTTCGATCACGACGCCATTTTCCTCTTTGTTGTTGTAATCTTCGTCGTTGAAAAATAACATTTATATAAAGTTTACCACAGAATATTGGAATAATAAAAAGTGGAATATAATTATTAAAATATAAATCAATATTTGCCCAATATTTATTACTAAAATAACAAGGCGATGTACATAATAATTTAGTATAATCATAATGGTTTGTACATGGACAAAGAAATATAGCACCGATATAGAATAACGGTGGAAAAAGAAGACAAAATAGAATTGGACAGTAATGAAAAAGAATTTTTGCTCGTTTAGTACGAAGAATATGTGAATGGAAAATTAATATATTTCGTTCAATACTAAGAAATGCCATAAGGAAAAGATTAATAATATTAATTGAATGATGAAACCAATTCCATAATGAACAAAATCTGTCATCTGAGGGATAAACATATGACGTAAACATATAAATTTGAGAAAGTGATAATCCAAGTGTAACAAAGAGAAACGATGTACATAGAAGAAGATAAATTACATGATAATTTATTGTTTTACGAAGTTTTTTTTCACGAACATATCGATAAAGAGCATAGAGAAAACAAGGCATAGTACAAACTTGAAGAGTAAGAAATAAAAAGAATTTAATACGATTTAATTTGAATGATTCCATATGATATTGATGTATTCCCTTATTATTTGTATTATTGCTTAAACTAATTATTATATTTCGAGATGTTAAATTTTCAAAATATGATTTCAAGAAGAAATTATAGGAGGACATAACTTCGAGAGTGCGTATGCTCAGTCCCTGTTTCTAAAAAAAAAGAAAAAAAGATCTTTTGACTCTACTTAATTAACCTTAGTTATAAATATATATGCAAATCGGATAATAAACAACATCTACTATGTAACTATGAATACGACGTATTATCTGAGACTTCCACACTATCAGTTATTTGTCTCTTTCATGATATATCAAAAGTCTCAGAATCTTGCTACTATTTATAAATTAAAGTAATTATATACATTTCTCAATGAGAAATATCTCGAGCGAATAGACACATAAAAGAACTTTTTGTGGTCTCAAATTAAATTATATAACATCCAAGCCATAAAATATAAGATAGAGTTGCGGTAAGGTGCTGATAAATATCACTAATACATAACGTTGTAAATAAGCAATTATTGAGAATAAAAAAAATAATTTCTGTGAGGATAATCGAATCTGATTTTTATTTATGTACAGATTTTGAAGTAAAATCTTTTGATAATGTAGGATGACATATGTATTATATAATCGATGACCTTTTTTTCATAAACATATTTATTAAAAATTAATGATTTAGACAGCTTCCTTGGTTATAACATGTTTCTTGGATTTCAAAGACATACGCATATCTCTTAATGTATTCAGAAGTATATTACTAAATAAAGAAGATCGTAATAGAAAGATGTTCTTTCAAATATATCTCGTTGTTACATTGGAATAAATGATACAGTGACTTTGAACTATATGCGAAATTTAGAATAGAAAAAATGACACACATTATGTGTGTGACATCACTATTTGTTTTTCTCAATATCATGTTTTATTTTGAATAACATCAGTATTTATTTTTCTACATAGAAAATAAAATTAATATAATAGACAATCTACGCAATATATCTCATTAATTCTATAGCTAATTTTTCACTGTACTGATTTTATAAAAACTAAAAATAATTCATGTAAGTATTCCATCAATGATAATTAAGATCCCTATAGAATTAAAATATTTTCTCTGGCTACGAGAGTGATTATTATGAAAGACCTAGATACATACTGTTATACTGATTTTGACATTTACTCGTTGTTTATCCAGTATTATTTATAGAAAAATATTGTTATATTACTAAAAAACGTATTTTAATTGATAGGTACTTTTGTATACATCCAAAAAGAGTTTTATATAACAAATCTTTATATTAAACTTCAAACAAAAAAATATTATTTGATGTTATTTTAGATAAAAATATTTTATATGTAATTTTCTAATATAGGATTGAAATAATGACGTATCAGCACCGTTTGTCCCCGACAGACAAGCTTAATATAGAATCTTATTAGATTTATGTAGACTATTATAATTTACTTCCAGAAAAATATTAACATTAGAATAAAAGATTGTATCTAGCGTAGTTATATTATTCTAGTTTAAAGTAGAGATGCACTTTTTCTTTTACTTCGTCTATATTTGAAACAAATTGTATAGTAAAGTAACCTTTTCTTGAGTAAATACTTTTTATTTAACATATTTGAGTTAGTAAATTTGCTCGTTAAATTAGATAATATGATTAATAGTAAAATTTATATTTTCATTTTTTAACAGCTTATGCAAACATGTAGAGTCACTGTTATTTCATTTGTTAACTAAAGTTTTAAATACTTCGCACAGAATGATAAGACATAGACAGAGCCCGCGCGAAGGGTCTAAGATTGAGGGGTATAGCGGATTTTGAAAGAGTGTAAAAATTTTTGAGGGGTGTAAAAGGATATTTAGAGCAGAATTTGCTAAAAAAACACAAAATTTGTTCTAAATCAGCTCCCGTCGTTGAAAAAAAAAACAAAAATTTGCAATTATTGGGAGGGGGTGTACACCCTCCCCCCCCCCGCTAGCGCGGGTGCTGGACATAGACAGCAAATTTAATGTAAACCGCAAAGAGATTATTTTTTTGATAGTAGAAGAACCTGTACGTGTGTTGCGATATAATTCTTTCATTTTTCTAAATAATAATTCGTCAAAAATATAATCTTATTCTATATAATCCAATCAATCCCTTGATATACATGTTTCTGACTAGTAATTAACAAAATGTTCTTCTTTTCTTTTAGTCTCTAATAACACTGAAAACGACTTTAGAGTTATCATAGTATTCTTCATTTGTCGAAAATATAGAAATATTATTGTAACAACGATGTCAAATACAACGGCAATCAATTTATATATTGCTAGTTTAAATCTTCTCCAAAACAATATTTTACGGTATACATATATAATAATTTTCATCGCAGGAAATATTGGATGTTTCTTGAATGTCTTAATTTTTACTCGACAAAATTATCGACAACTTTCTTGTTCATATTATATTCTTGCATCAACTTTCATTGATTTAATACTTATTAATTTTATTATTCTTTTACGTATTTTAAATACTTTTAATATCGATCCAACACAAACATCTCTAATTATTTGTAAAATTCGAATGTATATTGCTCAAGCAGCAGGAGTATTAATAAGAATTTTTATTGTCCTAGCATGTATTGATCGATGGGCAATGACATCAAGAGTGGTTAAAAGACGAGCTTTTACAAACATGAAAATCCCAAAAATTTTAATACCTTCTGTTATCATAGCATGGTGTTTAATAACTATGCATGTTCCATTCTATCAAGATATTGTTAATCGTAAGACATTGATTATATATTTTTTTTCAGAATTTATATAAGTTTCATTATAGATCGTTGCATAATAACATCTACTAATTACACAACATTTTATAATATTTTTAATGCATTTATTTCTGGTCTTATAATCCCAATGTTAATGATTATTTTTAGTTTATTAACTGTTCGTAATGTCAGACATCTTCAACAACGTGTACATGCTCGTGTACAAATATTAGTTACAGCAAATGTCAATGAACAAACTGTACAACCTCAAGCTATAAATAAAAAATCTTATGATTATCAATTATCTTTTATGATTTTAATTCAAGAATGTGTCTATATTATTTCAAATTTACCATTCGTAGTATATTCATTTTATATTGCAATCACATCAAGCTGGAGTAAACCAATTCTTCAAACAACAATTGAAACGTTTTCAATGAATATTGTTTATGCATTATTATATTTGAATTTTTCTTCGACATTTTATATTTATACAATAGCATCTCATACATTTCGTAAAGATTTAAAACAATTATTATCTTATAATCGTTTCAGAAGTATTCTATTTGGTAATCGCCAAAATATAGAAGATGTATCATTTACACAAGATCAAATACGAATGAGAACAGTTAATATGCGTCAATGAAATAAAGAAATTATTTTATTATGACTTTTTCAAATCATTTTTTGTTTATTGTTGTCAAATGAATCTGCATATGTATTTTGAAAATAAAAAATATTATAGGAAAAAAATAAGATTTGAAATATAGACGAACTTCTTCCGGAGGAAAGTACTCATTACATACACTGCTGGATGTTATTTTCTCGTATATTCAAAAAAAAATCATGTGAGAAAAAGAACAAAAGTAGTGTATGTGTTTTCTATAAATTGACAGTTTAAACTGTTATACCTCGTATTTTTTTCGCAAACATCTGCAGACATATAAAATTATTCTTAATTAATAGAGATATTTCGTGTTTTCTTATTTATCTATATCAATTAATAACAGATAGAATACTGCAAAGCAAACAAACACACAAAGTACAAGATTTTTACTCGAGGTTAAAAGTAACAGACTCTTCTAACACAACATATAGTTCGGTTTAATTGACATCTCACATCACTGTTTTTGTATAAATTTAAAATGAAAAAAGATCATTATTGTAGTCTAGAAATGTTTGTATTTTTTCCATAAGTATAAGATCAAAATTGATCCATATATAGTTTTGTCAGTAATTATTTTTATATTTATGTATACTGACTTTTACCTATAATAAACTCTTCTGCTTCATCTTTTTCTTTTACAATAGAACATATACGTTATGCTTAAGTGTCTTTTCTAATTTATATTAGTATCAACTGTTTGTTATCAAAAGGAGATTATTCAACAACACACGTAACAAAATCTATTTAAAAAAATTGCGTAGAAACATTCCATACACCTTTCCTTATGTTTCCTTGTTAAAAGATTTTACAGTCAGTTTGAATATATTATAATATTTTGTAGTCTTACAATCAAATATAAAATAATTATTTAGTCTTGCTCATACAACACATTTAAAAATAATCCTTCGCTTAATGTCTTCTTAAAATAGCACATACATAAATATTCAAATAGACATTTATTCTGACTTAGTTTTTCATTGTGAAGTACAGATTAAATACAAAAATAGATTTAATATACTTTTTTTTAAAATTTACCTTTTCCAAGGACAAATCATGTTTTCTTTGAATTATAGATTACGAATATGCATGACATATATTCTATCATTTAACTTCTATCCTCTTAACGATGACGTCAGTACAAATCTTAATAATGAGACTGCACGAATTAAATATAATAAAAATAAATGAACCGATTTTCACAACATTTATTTCTTTCTTCTAGTTCTATAAACAATGTCAAATATAACTGAAATCGATTCGTTCTTAACTACAATCAATACCATTCAAACAAACTTTTCACGTTATGGATATTTGATCATTTTCATACTTGGAAATATTGGTTCACTTCTCAATATATTAGTTCTTACTCGACCTAATTATCTTCGAAATTCTTGTTCATCTTATATTTTAGCATCAACTCTGCCTAATTTATTGATTATAAATATTGTCATTTTATTCCGTATTTTAGCTACATTTGGTTTTGACTTAACTAGTAGATCAAAACCTTTTTGTAAATTCCAGTGGTATATTTCACATTCAATGACATTATTATCAAGAACTTATATTTTATTGGCATGTATTGATCGATGGGCTATGACATCAACAATAGTTCGACGAAGAGCTTTTGCTCGTATAAAGATTTCTATGATTATGATCTCACTAGCAGGAATGATTTGGTCTTTAGTATCTGTTCATGTTCTTATCGGACAAAAAATAATTGAAGGTAATTTGAAAAAGTGAAATTTATTATTGAATTAAATTGTTTGCTTATATTTAAGGTCAATGTGTGCCAGGTTCAAAAGCGTATGCAATATTTTTTAATGTTTATAACACGGTCCTAGTTGGTATTGTTACACCTGCTTTGATGACTGGTTTTGGTTTAGTTACTATTCGAAATGTAAAACAACTTCAAAATCGTGCAAATCATCGTGCACAGATAATTCATACAATAATTATCAATCAAGAAAATCATCCAAATGCGGTTAATAAGAAAAGTTATGATTATCAATTATTATTTATGGTACTTGTTCAAATCTTCGTTTATATTATTACAACCATACCATTTGTTATGTATTCAGTTTATGCTGTAGTAACAGTGTATTGGTCTAAATCAAGTGTTCGGTTAGCAAAGGAAAATTTAGCTATGTCGATTGCTTATGTATCAGTTCTTGCTAATTTTTGTCTGACATTTTATATTTACATACTAACATCTGCTACATTTCGAAAAGATTTAAAACGACTACTATTGCATAATCGTTTTATAGATAAACTGTTTGGTAATTGTCATAATCCACAAGTGGGACCACGACCAATTACAAATGGGATCACGTGATAGATTCGAACAAAGAAACTAAAACAATTTTATTCCGAATTGCTTATTGTATTTATTGAAAATCTTTTTTATTTGATATTGTATAGTAAATGTTTACATGTTCAAAATAAACTGTGATTCATATAATTCTAATCTGTAATATAGATATACATACAAGTTGTTTTCATATAACATTCTAGTAAATTTCATAATAACGTTTCGAGAAATAAAATTAGATACAAGTTATTAGCTATACATGGTTAGATGTTGAAATGAAACCAGCATGACTCAATCAATCATAGAAAAATATTTTTTTAAAGAATCAAATTTTGTTTTATTTATGAAAGAGAATGATAAGTAAGAAAAAAATAATAATGTTGAAAAATGAGGCGTATATTTGATGTTTTCGTTAATAATAATAATGTATATAATAAAGTTGAATTATTATAATTATTTATTTTTTTGGTGCAATTAATCCTTCTAATTGAGCCTAAAAGAAAAAGATTATAAAAATAAAAATAATTCTCTTTCGTTTTTTTTAATTTATCAGACTTTGAGTTGTTGATTTGTTTTCTTTAAAAAATTAATTTCTTCCAAATGTTTTCTTTCTTCTACTTGTCGTTGTTCATTTAATTTCTTTTCAGCTGCTTCAGCATTAGCTTTTGTTTCTTTTACTTGTCTTTCAAGATCACGTTTATCTTCTTCAAGTTGTACTAACTAAAACATAACAAAAATATTAACCATCTATTGAATCTATTCAATTACATACTTTTCGTTCTAATTCTGATTTTCCTTGTTCAGCCATTAATGCTTTACGCATACCGAATGCTACACTACTTTCATAAAGTGTTTGATAGGCTCGTAAAGTCATTTGTAATTCATCACGTACACGTAAAAGAAGTAAACCACGTTCAGCACAATTAATAGCAACTTGTCGAATAAGTTCATCTGAATTAATTTTGTTTTTATTAAGAGAAAATAAGCATTCAATTGAAAGAAGTGTAGATTATATGTATATTTACCGAAACATTGTGAAAAAAGTTCACGTCGAACTGGACAAATACCAGTTTCACGAGCTTGTCGTTGTTGTAAACGCATATCTAATTGTTCTTGTAAATTAATAACATCAAGACGTGTCGCTGGTGTTGATGATATACGTTGACAATAGAGTAAATCGGGATTATTAGGATCTTTTGTAATTCTTGTTGAAAGAATTGTATAATATATATATATATATATATAGACAGATAAATAGAAAATAATTACTTTGGTGGAAGAATTTTATCCAAAATTTCCTCTAATGACAGATCTTTTATCGATTGTTTTTTACCTAATCGTGGTGAGTTTGTACCACCAGTGACATCCATTTGCTGATCTAAACCTGTTGATTGTTTACTAACACCAGCTCCTTTACGTTCTTTATCATTTTGTGCTGTTATCAATGATGGATTATCAAAACGTACAAGTGAACCTGTTGGTGGAATAACCGACATTATTTTTTTATGGAAGAAATGCTTTTACAATGGAAGAATCTAGAAATACAATAAAAAGTTCTAATGTGATACATCGCATAGATAAAAAAACGCTGTTTTTCTTCGCGGAGAGACTTGGAGTGAATTCTATTAATGTGTGATAGGTAATGTTAAAATGAAAATATTAATTCTATGAATACAGATCTTTTAATATGTAAGAAAATAACAAAATAAAAAACATTGCAAAGGGAATCATGTTTCAAATGATCTAAACTACTAATAGTTTGTTTCTACGTTATGTTACTAAAATTTCATGCCATCAACACATGTTCTACAGATAGGTTACTAGGCAGCCATATTAATAATTAAAGAATTGTTATATAGTTTATAAATATTATTGTAGATAGATAATTAAGAATTTTTGAAAATATATTTGTTAATTTTTAATTTTATTTAATTGTTTTTAAGAAGATTTATTATTTGATAGTTGATTAGCCAATCATTGGAGAGAAAAGAAGAGTAAAAGAACATTATTGATGCTCATTAATTTAGATCAATCTTTTGATCATATAATTATAAGAAATCAGCTTAACTTCGTATTAATTCAAAACTAAAGTCGATTTAAGTATTCTTAATGATAGATAAAAATCGAGACTGGCATGTTCCCGAATTGACTCAAGATAAAATAAGACTTAAAAGATTATATTTTCTTTTCCTCCTACATCCATTTTAATACTCTAAATAAAAGAGTCGCAAAAGACTCTAATATTACTTTAATTATAATCTAAATATTATTTACAATTTATTCATATCTTACTGCTAGTATTTAGCGAATATTATGGAATAATGATACATTTAAAGTGTGAAAACTAACAATTGTTCAAGTGACAATAAATGAGTCTCTACACTATTAGTATATATCATAAAATTATTCTGATTATTGAGAACTTGCTAATCATAAGATATACAGATAGAACCAATATATCAGAAAAAAACATAATTTATTCCATAAATACTTCAAGTTAATTAACAAAGTACCTACTATTCGAAATAAAAGAGCTCATATTTAACAGTATTCAATTATTCGATGACAATTCATGACGTTACAATGTATAAATAAAAGAGAAATTTTTTTCAAACTACTCAATTGAAATTATATGGTTTATGGTAAAATATAGGCATGTATATACTAGAAATCGGGTTAAGTCCATTAATATGAATAAGAACTTAATCTCGATATTTCAACCCTCTTATAAAAGAATTTTTAACTATTGAATACAAGTGTTGAACATGTAGGAAAAATTGGTGAAGGTTATTTCTGAAGAAAAAACATAATCTTATACGAATATAGCATATAATAACGATTTAATCTATTTAAATCAAAGTGTTATATATATATATGACAGAACTGAATCTTCCTCGACTATATATTGTTTTATATCTCTATCATTACGAAGATACTTCTATACTTAATTCAAATTTAATAATACATATTAGAATTTTGTTCCTATTCATCTAGTGTCGGCAATAATTGACTGAAAACTTACTGCATAATCGTAGCCTCCTAATTGCGGACAAAAAATTAAGCCAATTAGTGGAAAACGACCGCTTTTTGGAATGACAAAAAAATCGATTATCTCATTCTATACTGTGTTTCCAAGAAACGGTCACCCTTTTTCAATTAAGAAGCAACCAACAAATATAAAGTAATGGTAATAGAGCGAGATAGTTATTCATTCATACTATTACTATATGAACAAAAACATTATTCTTCATCGTTATTGTCTTTAGCATCTTTTAAAACAGATTATATCATAGGAAAATACCTGTGTTACATTTAAAAACTCTTACACTAGGAAAAGATCAAAAGAACTAATCGAGGTTATATGACAAAACGAGAGAAAGTGTATATATATGTATAGAAAAGAAAAGAAGACATTGTATACTTTCTTATGGAATGTTGTAAGGAATATTTCATAAGTATTATTCTTTTTTTCACTTTTTTTATATTTGCCAATCACACACACACATATTATGATTCAATTTTACAACGACTATTTAATGAAAGAGTGATCACTTTTTGGAAACACAATACAGAATGAGATGATCGAATTTTTACGAATTGGCTTAATTGTTGCACGCAATTAGGCCGTAGCCCTGCATAATTTATGAAATAGAATTGTTTTTACATATTTTTTGTTAGTATAATTAGTGTCTTCTGATAATTATATTCTCATAAAGTAGTGTCATCTCTGATAGTCTTGTTTCGTTTTCAGTTTATGTAATATCACCATTTTTATTTGAACCAATAATATTTTTCTTTCTATCTATAATCCATTCATTGTTCTCTAGGGAAAAATATGATTAAAATTAACTGAAATTATTTTTCATTAAAAAATGAAATTAGAGTGTAAAATTAAAATTCAAGATCGACAAAGAACAAATGGATCATCAACATTGAAAGCGGCAAAAGGTGTTATTGGTCTTGCAAAATCAAATACTGATCAATGGGTTCTTATTGTTCGACTTTTCAAAGAGACAAGCACGACACAATATAAGGTATTTCATTTTATTAAATAAACAACATCTATCAGAAAAATACGTGACTCAAATTTTTTACTTTAGCTTCGTGAAAATATTCAAGCCCTATTACATAAATGTATCAATAATGGTATGGCAACAATTCAAATCAAAGTACCTCCCCATGATATACAATTATCAGAAGTAATATGAATAATTATTTGTATTGTATATTATTTTAAAAAATAAATTTACAGGCTAATGTTGAATCACTTAAAACTTTATTATCAAGTGTTCGTCTAGCTTCAACTGGTAATGATCTTCCATCTACAATAAAATCTACATCTGTAAATGCTGTTCAAAAACTTCAACGGCCAACACTTCAATTGATAATTAAACAAGCAATTGAGTATCCAACTTTAAAAGGTTTTCCATCAACATTAGAAAAACTTATAGTTAATAATGCTCAACTTCGTACACCTGTTGATCGTCGAATATTTATCCTGAAAAATTTACATACACTTGATCTATCAGATAATAATATTCATGAATTACCATCAAATCTTGAAATGAATCATTTACATACATTAATTATGCGTTCAAATCAATTAAAATCTTTTCCACCAAAAAATTTTCAAAGTCCTGTACTTAAATATCTTGATTTAAGTCAAAATCAAATAGAAATAATTGATCAAGCATTATTAAAAATTTCGATACTTGACCGTTTAAATTTAATGTCAAATAAAATTAAAATTATTCCAAGAAATATCTTACGTTTATTAGGACAATTACAAGTATTTAATATTGCATCAAATCAAATTCGAGCTATTCCAAATGGTTTAGCTTGTGGTGGAGCACATTTACATACATTTTATTATTCTGAAAATCCATTAATAACAAGTAAATGTATAACATGTCAACGTTTTAATTTCACACTTGTTGAATTAGCTCTTCGAGCAGTTATTAAATATCGGTAAAATTAAAAATTTGTTATTTTTTCTGTTTAAAATAATTACATTATTTTTAGAATTCCTTATGATTTTAATATAATTCCTCGAACTTTATGCTTATTATTAGCTGATTATGAAACATGTGCACATTGTGCTTTACCATGTTTAACTAATTTTGGCGAGATTATTGTGCCAAGACAATTATCAGCAAATGGAATTACAGTTCATGTTACAGCAGCTAATCAATCATTTTCTGTACCAGTACAAGAACGATATTGTTCGATAAAATGTTTTAATTATGGACTTAAACGTGCTGGTATGAAAGTCATTTTTATCTTCTTTTTTAATCATAGGATTAATTATTCTAGGAATGACTCAAATGGCAGTTTAGATAGTATTCAAATTAATTAATTCTTATTTTTGGTCTTGTTCAACTTATATTTTGTAATTATTTCGTTTATATGTTTGTTAAGATAATAAACAAGATTGTAATGATACGTGAAAAATAAAATAGCATTCTAAATTTCTCAAAAATAGCTGTTAATCTATATATTGATAGGTATTTTATCGATATTCTTTTGCATTTTATTACCGTTACTATACGCAAAGATATAGTAGATAAGATCTTCTTTTTACTACGATATACAGTAACTAACAGAACAATGACAGTATAGAACATAACATCCATTCTATCATTCTTACACGAAGAAGTTTTTAAAAATGAGATTGATTCATTTATCTTTATATTATAACTCCGACGGTTTAATAACAGGTAAATTAATTTTATTTTCTAATTACCGAAAAGAAAAGTCTAATAACAACACAGAACACAATGTCACACAAAAATTTTTACAATTTAATTATCTGTATTTGAAACAAAAAATTACTTCATTAATTGGAAAGAGAAAGAAATGAAATTTACATAAATGTTTCTAAACCTGCCCATGATCGACCAAGAATGTCAACATCCGTTGCTTGATCAATAATACAATCGATTTGTTCATCGACTGACAATTTGTAATAATGATCTGATACATATTTTATGAAGGTTTGTGCTCGTTTACTATCAGTTTGATCACCAAAAACAATTTTTTCCATACGACGACATGCTTTTTGCAAATTAGATGAACGAAGAAAATTATTCAGTTTTAAATCCGATCTTCAAAAAAAAACAATAAATTATAAATCAAAAAATTCTATTCTTTTATCATACGCTGTTATAACTGCTGGATTAATTCCATTTAATTTTAATCGTGCACTTTTTATTCGATCTTTTGCATAAGTATCATCTGAACGAATTAGATTTGTTTCTAAATAAAAACAAATATTTGAAAAGCATTATAAATTTTATTTTAATTCTATACCATTTTGTGTTATTTGTTTACTTGTTTTAATTGCATGTTCCTAGATAAAGAAAATGATTAATTTTTATCAATAACTAATAAAACATACCATCCATTCCATTAATGGTTCTTTGATAAATACATCCATTGTACTAAGTAATATATCAGAATTTTCACGTAATGCATTCATTGTATGAATCATTGTCGCACGAAATAAACCAGCTGTGCCAATTGGTGACATTAATTGAGTCAATTGACGTGTTAAACGAATTGGAATTAATTCCGGAACTGGTAAATGCTTTAAAAAAAACGTTTGTTTGTTTATTTATGAAATAATATTATTTTAACTTACAATTGTTGCTGCATTAAATGCTGAACCAAAATCAATACCAATGATTTGACCAGACGATGTATCAATAAGAAAACTAAAGAAAAATGAAATAATTAAAAATATATATCTCATTGAAATTAATCATACTTCGATTGATGACGATCACCAATACCAAGAATATATTGACTTGTACAGAGAACAGCATAACTTGTCATAAATTGACGACGTAATGTATAAAAACCTTCATGTGAATTGGCTATTTTATAATAAGCACGTCGAAGTAAATCAGCAGGTATAACTGATTGGATTTGATTAAATTCTTCTTGAACTTGAGCTTTGGTTAAACCAAATAATTCAGCATACATTAATGTATTATTTGCTGTTTTAGCTGTTGGGTGTTTTTTTTGATAAACATTCGTTACATAATCTTGATAAAGTTTTCGTGGATGTTGACCTTGATTCATAATTATATCAAGTTCACCATCAGTATATGATTCTTCAATAAGATCTTTTAATGGACGTGTATTATCAAGCCATTCAATTACACCCAATTTTGATGACATTGGAATTACTAAAATAATCATATGTTTTATTCTATTATATCTTAAATTGTCTAAGAAATATATGGTAAGTGAAATGTACTATATTCGAGATGAACAATTGATCTAACTATTCGCTTTTTTACTCTAATGAATTCAATACATAGGATAAGCAATAACTTAGTCAGGTGTATATCAAATGATTAAAGTATTTTTTATACCTTTATAAGTTCGTATAGCAATATGAGCTGAATTTGATTGATTACAATTTGGATCATTATCATAAAGATCATTCATAATAGAAAATAAAGCTTCAATACGTTGATCTTGTCGTATATCTTCACCACCTTTAACTAAAAATCGATAATCATTTTCATCATGTCCACGTATTGTTATACGTTTTGGTAATCGTAATGAATGAAGTACCAAAAGTTTTTCATCAAATCCAACAATTTTAATATGATGTTCAAGTAATGGTTTCTTTTTACTTGTATATTGACCTGGAATTTCTAATTCACGTAGTGATGTTTTATCTAATGTACGATTTTGTTGTTGAAATGTTGATGAAAACCATGTTGAATAATCATTTATATTTGTTTTATCTTGTATAATAGTTTTTAATTTTAATGATATATTTCCTAATGTTAAACGTGTATCACCTAATGATATACTTGAAAATAATTCTCCATTCTTTCCAAATAAATCATCAAATTCTTTTTCAACAGCATTTTTAAATAATACTCGTATTGATGTTATTTTAGTTTTTGATTGATCTATTTCATTAGCCTGCATTCGATCATCAGTTGTTTCATCAGGATTAATAGGATCAGAAAAAAGTGTTTGTTTAAATTTAATTAAATGAGATTTAAGTTGTTCTATATCTCTTATTTGTGGATCATTACCTAAGAAATGAAAAAGTTCTTTTGACCATGCATCAAATTGTTGTTGAGGATTTAATTGATTTAATGCTTCAATAAATTCATTAACAAGAGGAGTATAATGATCTAGTTTCTGATGAATTGATTCAAGATTTTGTTTTAATATTGGATCAGTTATAGAATATTGTAAAGTTTCATAACTTAATTTAAATGGATAAACAATTGATTGAGGATAAAGTTTTACAATTTGTTCAATTAATGGATATAATTTTAAGCTAAAATAATAAAATAAATTAAAGTAAAAACTTGTATTCTCCAAAATTATAGCTAATAAACCTGTCTCACAAATTCTTAATTCCTGAAAAGCGCAGTATTTTAGATCTTTTACAGGATTACCTTCAAAATATCGAAAGCAAAAATCTTGAAAATGTAAAAGCTCGAAATTGGGTAAAGCTAGAAAATAATCAGAGAGCATCTTGAGGGTGTGAGTATCGGTGTGGTTACCATAGATATGATACCCACATCCACACCGGCGCCCACACCCTGAAGATGGTTTTTCGAAACTTTATCTGTCGATCATCGAGCTCTTTGAGATTTCCTCTTTCGATATTCTGACATCATCCCCTTTTACATATAACGAGATATTTAAATGATTATAAAATATACTATTACTTACGCAATTGGTTTATCGAAATATGCTGTTATTTGATATAAACAATCAAAAAACATCCAACATGGAATTTCTTGTATTTTTTCAGCTATTAAATCCATTGTATTTGGATACAAATCAACAATTTGTAATAAACGTGAAAAACGTTTAACACCTTCATTTGATCCATATTTCATTGATAATAAAACAGATTTAACAATTAATTCTGCAATATTATTTCCATTGTTTCCTTGAAATAAATTGTCCATAAGATTATTCTCAACTTCATTATTTTCATATCGACGTAAATAATCATCACAAACACTTGCTAATTCATTATAATCTCGACTAAGAATATTTTCTTTTGCTAAACAAATATTTATCTAAATAAATACGAATTTTATTATTATGTTTTAATACAAAATGAAAACTTACTGAAGGATTTTGTAAATCATTTTCTTGTTTTTCAATATTTTCTTTCAATATTGAAGTACATTTATGAAATAATTCATAAATTAATTGATCAGCTTGTTGAATTTGTTTTGTATTATTATCTAATCCATATAAATACATTTCTAATTGTTTATGTTTAGCTTGAGGAATTTTTTCATCTTGTTCATACTCATAATAAGCTTTTGGTTGAGCAAGAAGAAAATCAATAACTATTCGAGAAAATTGTGAATTTAATTGAATATAATTCGAATTTAATTGTGCAGTTTGTTGATCAATAATTTGTAATGAATTTATTTTTGTTTCCATTTTTTTTAATTCTTTCGCAACACTTGTTGATAATAAACTTGATAATGTTGCTGTAGATGATTGCATTTGGTGACGTTTTAAATGTACATCACAATAGATTTCATTCCAATAAATTGATTTCATCAATGGATTTTGACATAAATCCAGACGATGACGTGTTTCATTTAATTTAGTTAAAGCTAATTTAAAATTACGTTGACGTAATGCACAATAGGACATATCAAGTAATGATTGTACTTTATAATCAATTAATAATGGATCAAATTCAGTAGCTTTTAAACGACTTGTAAATGTCATTCGTGGTCCACCAATCAATTCATCAAGAATCTAAATATAAAATATATTACCTAGAGACTAGAGGTGAAATTTATTCTATTGAATCTATTTGTTAAAGGCCTTGTGATTCGTAATGATGATGATGATCCTAGGGATCTACAAAATCATTTTTTTTGGTCTCAGTCCCAGTTCCGGTCAAGCTTTTACAATTGGTTCCGGTCTCGGTCTCAATAGAAGTTTAAAAGTAATTATGTAATGATTCGCAGTACTAAATTTTGCCTTTGAAACGAAGCAATTATAGATTTGCTGGTTTAGAAATAATGTAAGACATTTCTGATCAAAATAAATTTTTTCACATTTATTTTCAATACCCAATAAATGTCTAGTTTAATATACGATTAAAAAAATTACTGAAACCAGATGACAATTTTGATCAGGTTCCGGTCCCGAAAGAAAATGAAGATTTAGTCCCAGTCCCGCGCGACCGGGATCAGAACCACTTTGCAGAATCCTAGATGATCCTCATTCTTTCCTTTCTTTTCCCAGAGTAAATAAATATAACATACATCTAAAAATAATGAACGATTTGTAACAATATCATCCCATGTTTGAATTGAACTACGAACAACATCTGGTAATTGCCATTGTGATAATAAATCATTATGTACACGTTCAAGAAATAAATCTCGTGTTGTTGTATCATTTTTATTATTTGTTAAATAACGATTTTCTAAAGATTTTAATAATGGTAAATTATGTTCGATAAAAACAAGAAATTGATCAAGTTCATAATATGGTTGAATTAATTGAATTGTTGTTTTTCGGCCATATTCACTTAAACGACTTAATGTTGACCAACGAAGTAAAAATTGTTCTTTAGCATATTGAATATAATATTTTGTACCTTGAAAGACAAAGAAAATTATTTATTGTTTTTTTCCGAGTGTAGATTTTTGGATAAATACTTACGATCAAAATCTTTTTGATAAAGAAAAAAAGTTGCTAATTCAAATGGATATTGTTTTTCAATATATGATCGTTTAACAAATGTTGTTTCGGAATTATTTGTTGCTGTTGTATTATCTGATGTTGTAGATAAATTATTAAAAAATTGACAAAGATCATCTTGTTCTAATTGTTCTTGTTCTGTACCTGATATAAGTAATTTAAGTTTTGCACGTATTGCATAAGGCATTAAATAATTTAATTGATGTGCATTGGACCATAATGTATCAAATGTTGTATCATCAATAAATATATGTTTAGACATAATTGTCCAATTATTTAATTGATTACAACAATTTAACATTGATTGTGTCCAAAACTCATGTTCTAATTCTAATATTGGATCATTTAATGAATCATCTGTTAGAGGATATTGTTCTAATGCTGTTACATAACTATTTAATGCTAAAAGAAAATCTGTATGACTTTCTTCTTCAATAGCACGTAATGTTATTGGTTTTAAACCAGGTGTTTGCGAGAAAATACCACGTACATCATCATAATTAGCTAATGAACGATAACATTTAGCTAATTCAAGCCATTGATCAATTTTTTTATATAATTGTTTACTTATATCAGGATCTGGTTTAAGTTTTTTCTTTAAAGGTTCATGAAATAATTGATTAGATTCATTTCGTTGATTTAAACGTATAAAATATTCAATTGTTAATATTCCAACGGATTCTAAATGACTTGATATTGTTG